CACAGGAACTTTTTCAGCGTGAGCAGCGAGCTGTGGCCCTAAGTTATTTGTTTCATTGTGAGCAAACACATCATCTCCAGTAAGACTCTAGTTAAAGAAAAGAAACTCAGCGCTGACTGGAAACAGTCTTTATAAAGTTAAAGTAATAATGAATACTGGTGAAAGCTGTAATTGTTTCCTATCATCTGGCTTTCCCTCCCTCGCCATCATCTGCTCACCAGGTCAGATAACAAACAGCTATTTACATAGCTACATTTACATTTAATGTATGAACATTTTTATTTACTTTAAAGTGTTGAGACTGTTGGATTGAGACCAAACTACTTAGTGATATTTACTGGATAAATAAACACAAGATTTAAGATTGCAGGCTTGCTGAGCATCTTAATCATTTTCAGACTCCAGTCAGATGTTGTGTAAGTGATCTGAGCGGCACAATAATTTAGTGATGTCTCTGAAATAATGAGAGAATGCCTTTTCCCGAGGTCTGTTGTTTGTTGGTTATTACCATTTGCCTGATATGGTGTGGAAAAAATGCAAAGTAGTAATAGTCAAAAATAGCATTTGTAGTGGCAAAGAACAGCAAGTCCACAGCAGTAATTGATGGAGACAGTTCAAAGTCATTGTGCTTACTGACAAACTTGCCCATGTTTCTTTACAAGCTCTCCAAGAGACATGGAAACCAGATGAGTAGCTCTGCTGCTGCTATTTAATCCCAGAATTCATCTGTGTGGCATCCATGCCCACTGATTCACCCCTGCTTCCTCACTATATTTAAAAACACAGATGAGTGTGTGCCACAGATTCAGGCGGTAAATCACAGGCTTTATGCTCATCTTATAGAGATTCTGGAGAGCTTTCTTTAGTCAGGATTTATCTGTATTACAGTATCAGACATGCTCAGTGTGTATCTAATGCTTTCACAATCCACTATGCTTATGAAATGAAAGCCTTTGTTGAGTGAAACCATGATCCGCATGGCTCATTGGTGTTACTTTTATGTCCTTGCTGGGAGTATTGATGAGATCTGGCAGCGTCCAACCCACCAAGACACAAACATTTCTTCCTTTGGGCTTTACCAAATAAAACAGTTATAAACAAGACCCCAGCTCTCCTACCATTCCAGCACCCCAAAGCAAAACAAGATGCTGAAGCTGCAGAAACACTTCCCAGATGTTGGTCATGAAGTGCAAGGAACCGGCTATATGGTATGATCTCTCTACTGCTCATGCTGAGAACAAGGAGCGTTAAAACCAGTATGTAATACTCATTGGCTTCTGATGACTCTCTTTTGAATGTCTCATGTAGGAAAGAAAATAATTACATACTTATCATGGCATCTGTTTGGTTCCACTGTTGTAAGTACATGCACGGAGAACCAGAATGTACCCTAACACATGCTAAATGACTTAGACATTACAAATAATTTCCATGTGAACACAATTTTCACTTAGGCAACACTTTTTCATATTCCAATATTTGTGTTTATACACACTTGAGGGGCAATAGTGCATTCATTATTTTGCAGCTTTCTTTGAGTTTTCAGAGCTGAAAAACCAAAATGTGTGATACCGTAACAGATGGAAGTTTTTCTTCTGTATTTTAGTCTTATAAAACAGCATCCAGAAACTTTACAGGAGCACCCGGAGTCATACTGGTTTCCGGTCTTGGTCCCTGCAAGTACCTATCATCATGAGAAAATGACAGGATGTACCGCACATCATGTAACACTGTCCCAGGTAGGGAAAGTTCGGACTGTCTTTCTCTCATGGCCATTTGCTCATGATCAACAGGATCTTGGATGTCACAAGCTATCTGTGAAACCTTGAGAGGTTCTAATATACTGGCCTCACCGCTGTGTGCTGGCTGTGCGGGAAGGAACCAAATCCTGTGAGACAAATTAATATTTAGGCACACAGGGATGTGAGGACAGCTGCTGAAAAGCCGCTTTGACTGTCTGCCCTGCCAAAGAAAACAAAACAACACAATGCAATGTCCCATAGGCAAGAAGAGGAGAGAGCAGTCAGATGTTTCTTTTAAGAGCTCTTATGATTTATGATCACAGCTGACCATCATCTAATTTTCTATCAATGCCTTGGTTGAGAAAAAGAAAAACACACAGACATAGTCATGTCCCTGCTGACACTGTAGTTGAAGTTTGACTCATAGTTAAGGACAGTGATTCCCAATCTTTTCTACCCCTACATCCCTATTAGATATTAAATCTATAATATGTAACATTTCCACATTCAAATGCTATAAAAACTAGACCTGTTCTATATTTCGTTGAGTTGTGTACTTGTATTATCACAAATGTTTCACACAATGTTCAAACTCAGAGAAATCTATCATTTTACTCAAGTAATGGTGCATTTCACTGGTACAATACACTTTTTAGGTTGGTTTTATCTATACATTTTAACAAGATAAAGGACGGTGAAACAAGCTAAGCTAATGTTAGCAGCAGCTTGACTCTGGGACGTCAGCTTCAGACAGATTTGTAAGGTGAAACTGCTTTATCAGTGTTTTTACTGGTTTGCTTTGGAGAGGAGGAGACCGCTGCCAATATTTCAGCCTGAGCGATGAACACTGAGGGAATCCTAATCGGGAGAAGCTGACTGCAATGATGGTTAAGACAACATCTCCCATGATCCCACGCTACTTCAGGACATCTTCAAACTTCTACTTTTGATATTGTTTTACCCCCTAGTGGCAGAAATTACATTTTGTACGCCGTGATCAAGTCCAGCTGTGGTTTTTATTTTCAGATTTTAAGTAACACCAAAAAGTGGAATAAGATATATATTTTTTCATACCATTGAGTTGTCACTGTTTAGGTTGCTTTGGTCATGATTGTCATGTAATGAGGATCCAGACCAACTCAGTCTTAAACTGTGTGTATTTTGAAAAAGAAAGACACTCAAGCAGTCTAGTTAAATCATAAAAACAAAGGAGAAGGAGTCCCCTGGACAAACAATGGTGCACATATTCACAGCTCATTCACGCTTCGGTCTGGCTGCTGATTGGTCGACTGAAAGCCCACTCACTGCACACAGGGAGTCCAGAGAGCAACAGCCACATTAGAGCACATTCACTGAGCAATACTAGCTGCTCTCTTTAAAGAAGAAGAGTTAAGGTCTGCCACAAAAGTTGGTGTTTTAAAAAAAAAACATAGTTAGCAGATCATATCACAACTCCCTTTCAAGTGTTTATTCTATGATTTAAAAAACATAATCATGCTATGTACAGCAGGAGATGTGTATCTATAGAAATAATCTGGAAAATAAAGACCTGCACCAGTTCCTACTTAAAGTAAATTATTAAGTTGTAATTTATGCATTATTAAAGGGGAATTTGGCAACTATTTCAACTTAATAAACCCGTTTAGAAATCATTTGGGTGGTTAAATGGCCTGTTCCGGTGTTAATGGTGACTTTCCCCGCTCCCCCTAGTGTCCCCAGGCGGAAAACCAACCTTGCAACTTTGGGACTACCGTCCCGTTAAGTTGGAAATAGGAAGTATCGTGAGAAGCGAGAATAGAATAAACGCACACGCCCCCCTCAATACCGGTTAGCCACGCCGGCTATAAGAACAAGCAACGATGAATGTATTACCCTCCTCGGTAGACATTGCTCTACACGAAAAAGTTGCCCGGCAACAAATGCACATCAGCAGCGGCAGAAAGTGGGAGGAGGGTGCCGCAAGTGAGTTTTTTACCGACAGTGTTTTGAAATATACGTCCCAGAGCTGTAGGGGGAGCTCGTTGAGAAATCATGCGACGACAAAAGTGAAAACCAGCGAAGAAATGGCTAGAGTTGCCAAGTTCCCTTTTAATAAAAGTGCTTGCACCACAGAGAAGTTACATTTTAACTGTAAGTAACAACTAAGAGTGGCCTAAATCATAAATCACAGAATTGAATTCACTGATGGTTAAAATTCAGTTTTTTCTGCCACACAGCATTATCTTTTCATTAATTGCAGTGGTGTTACAACTGTCTCTCTGGAGGTGATAAACTGAACGGTTCAGGAAGTCATTCACACAGTGCAATACGTCCTTTTAACTAACTTCTAATTATATCCATTTTGCACACCTTACTGCAATTTTCACACTCGACTGCATGTACATGTTTGAAAGGGAATGCTTCTTTCCCCTACTTTTATGTTTGTACCTGTGTTTGACATGTGTTTTTGCACTGTTCTTTGTACTGTGATATTCGTATATCTATCAGCCAATTCGGGTGCTTATATTGCTATTTGTCAATATTTTTTCATAAATTATTATTTTTTTTAATATTAGTTAAACAACTCCCCCTGGCAACTGCACAAGTTCCAATTGGGTGAAAGTACCCCTGGTTGGGGATCACTGGAAAGGGAAATCTTTCACTGCAGTGTTTTGAACTGATTAACAGGGCTCAATGGCCAAAATGTGGCTATAACTGAAAGCATATTGTACTTAGTTTAGACCCAGCACAGCATGTCATCCTTTGAAGAGCAGCTGTGAACCGAGATTTTAAATACGGAGGAGGGAGGCCTTCCCTGAGCCAAGTAGTCCATCTTGGGCCTCCACATTTACTGTACAGGAAACGTCCACTGCCAAGGCCAGCAGTATGTTTACCCTACGGCCGCTTAAACATGGTAAGTGAATATATCATCCTCTTTCTGTGGACATAAAGTATGGAAAAGTCTTTCTCAATTTACACTTACACACAGAACAGCAGGTGCGTGTAGACTCATACACACTCATGTACACACACGCTCGCTGATAAACTAACATTTCATCCTAAGAGAAACAGTTGGGTCTCTGTATTTAGGAGTGGGGTTAACAGATTGCTCCTCCTGGACCCGCACATCAAACATTCCCATAAAGGCAGAATCTGGGGAATGCTCCATGGAACACCTACAGCACGTTTTCAGGTCTGTTTGAGCCTGCCTGCCGTGGGGAGAGGAGTACAGGATGCGGGCTTAGTGGGGCTGGCTCAAGACGGAGGTTTACTGTAAAGTTTATGTGAGGGTTTGAACGTGTGTATGTGTGAATGTTGCAAGGTGTGGGACACTAATATGTACCTTTGCTGAGTGTAAATGTTTTAGAGGCATCTTGGGCAGCAGGCTGAAAGCATCTTTGACATAATTACAAGTGTCAAAGCTAAAGAGGAGGTTCCCTAAGGAACGAGGACTGGCAGGTCAGTGTGAAGAGTGGAAATCAGACTGCCAAAAATGGGAAGTTGTTGACTAAACATCTGTGAGTGTGTGTCTGTGTGTGTGCTGGCACGTTTGCATGTGTTGAGAAGTGTTTTCTACAGTAAGCAGGCGAGTGGTTCATCAGGGGGGTTGATGATTGATGACCTGATGGAATTTGTTGCTAATCAAAGTGCAAAGTTCAGTATCAAATACATGTCCAACAATATCCTGCTAAATTTCAGCTGTTGCTGGCCTCTGTGTGCTTTTTTCCCCACTTTCTCTCTTTGCTTTTCCATCATATGTGGAAAAAACCAAAACACTGTTTTACAGAGTATCCCAAATAAGCTGAGTCTCTGAGCTCTTTGCTGTCATTTTGATGTTTTCCAAGAAACAGTGGCATTTACCAAACAGACCAGACCTGACAAGAAAATGGTTGCCATATTCAAATATGTGATTGTATTTGTCCACATTGATTTTACAGACTAGAAGGATTGTATAACTATGACTGCAATTACAACAACTACTACTATCACCCTAGTACTAGTTCTATTTGTATTACCACTACCATACTACCACTAACATTATTAAATGCATCTTCTCAAACTCATGTAAGCAATGATGAAATCACAAGAGTGGAACTGGTGCGTGTGCAGCTCAGGGTAGAACAGCAGAAGCCGAATGGTGCCATGCTGTTGAACAACATTGTCAAAGGCCAGAGGGACTTTTAAAGTTTGGGTCAAAGCTTATTCATGGTGCAAGGTTAATAATGAGCATTTAAATTGAGCCATTCAAACATCAAATCATGTGTTTGTTGCTGTTGTATTGCGGTGTTTTTAATTGTTGAATTTAATGTTTTATGTTTTGTGTGTGTCTTGATTTGATTTTTGTCACACCTGCTGCATGGCTCTGTGAATAACAGTGTCAGTTGATCGGTCAGCCACTTTGGTCCAGACTGAAATATCTCAACAAATATTAGATTGATTGCCATGACATTTGGTACAGATATTCATGATCCCCAAAGGATGAACAGTAATAATAAATTATCATCTACTGCCATCACCAGTTCAATGTTTAAATATGTCAAAGTACCTACAAATTAAACATGGCTCCCATCAGCCTACTCTGTGCTCTGTGTTTAGTGTTAATTAACAAATGTGGTTACTAAACTGAGATAGTGAACATGGTAAACATTATACCTGCTTAACTATTACTATGTCAGCATTATTACTAATAGAATATTAGCATTTAGCTCAAAGCACTGCTCCTAGCTGCTGTTGTTGTCGATTCCTGGTCTTCATAACAACATGAGGACCAAAAAATAACTTTAACTTTAAAAAGAATCTGTTTACTTTAACATTTTACCCCTTGGAGTCGATCGAGACAAAACTCAAGTAGTAATTCAATTAAATCTTATTTGTGTAGTGCCAAGTCAGTTATCTCAGGGCATTTTTTAAATAGAGCAGGTCTAGACAGTACTCCTTATAGAATTATTTACAGAGACCCGACAGTTCCCACCATGAACAAGCACTTGACAACAGCGACAATAGGGGGACACTAGCTAACACACACACACACACACACACACACACACACACACACACACACACTGACAGTATTAATAAAAAAAACTGGTACTGGTATAAATAATGAAAACAAATATTGTTAGATGTATTTTTGACTATTTCTCTGGTAGATGCAGGTATTTTTGTACCATTTTTGCCATTTTCTGTTATTATTGGCCATCACTAATGTCAAATTAGCTGTCAAATTAGCCAATCATATTACTTTGGGATATTATTTTATACATGCCATAAGAAAACTCAAGTGTCAGACTAAGCTCACACCTGCTGTGGGGCTGCCTTTGGGGACAGGGAAGCAAATCAATTTCAATCCCAAATGCTACACTGTCAGCTTGGGCAACAGTCCATGAGTTTATGCCCTGAGGTGATGTTTAATGAAGTGTCTGTTGAGTGCAGACTCTGAGATGATCCTGTAGTTCAACAGGGCAGATCAGTCCACTGAAACTGAAACCAAGAGTATTGTGTTGGTGAAACGGGAAAATAAATACATCATATAAAACAATGCGGGCATTTTTTGCAGGCATTTACAAGTTTTGTGCAAATTTTAAGTGTTTCAATTAAGTTCCCGTCAAAGATCTGACATGACATTCCCTTTGGAAGAGTGATGACTTGTGTTTCAACATCCTGTCAACAAAACATCACAGTATCAGAACCAGCAGCGTTAGCTCAACTACGTCATAAATATTCCTTCATCCATGGCCAAACTGAGGGGCAACTCAATAATTATTTCCTTTTAGCAAAATCTCCACCACATTGTTGTGATGTTCTAGAAATGTGCGGTTTCATGCTCTACTGGTATGTTCTTGATTGGGCTTTCATTGTGTACGAGGATATGGGAAACAGCATTGATGTTTTATCTCAACCGCAGCGTCGTGAGCCAAGCCTCAGCACCGGCCGCGACAGATTGTGTGTAAACATGTCATATGAGAACGATCACTATATGCCCCATTGGCTCTTGGATTTGGCTTGCTTTGTTTTCAGCCTTTTCTTTCCTTGTGTATTGTCCTTTCTCATGTCTTTGTGTTACAGAGCCGAGTAGTGATTGTAACTGATGATAAGATGAGGACAGATTTCTGGCCTATTATTTTCACCTCTGGGAGCACCTAATCGTCCCTGTTCACATAATATACTGCATATAGCCTACTTTAGTACACACATGTAGATTCTATTACACACCTTTGGATGAACACATATGTCTTATTCTTATTTTCTGCAACATACTGATGCATTTGTACTAAAAATAACAAAAAATAGGCGCCTTTATACTGAGGTCGCTCATAGTGATACGCCAACTCTGTAGCTCCCCACATCCCATCTACGAACAACAGACAAAGTAAACTTGCTAAAGCCTAGCATAGTGGAGCATTTAGCAGCTAAAGATATATTTCCCTCCAGAGTTGGTGGAGACCAGAGTTATTATTTTTATTTTTCATTAGTTTTTACATTCATTTCGATTTTAATTTTTGTTCTTGACTCAGTTTAGTTTGAGTTTCCAGAGTGGGTTTGCTGGTTTCCGTTTAGCTTTCATTGTTTAAAAATGCTCAGTTGTAGTTTAGGTTATAGTAGTTTTGTTTTTTTAAATAATATGTGGGGGTATTTGTCAGGGGCAAGATTTAAGAAGTTCAGAATAGTTATTACAATACAATCGGTCAATCATGTACATCGAAGCCTCAATAAACACAGGAACCAATCACATTTCCTGTATATTTACATTTTATTTTACTTAGTTTTCTAAGTACATAACAGTTTTACTGAGTTTCAGATATTTTCGAATGTCTATTTTTTTTTTTTTTTACCTTGGTGGAGACCAAAACAGAGATAAAGGAGAGTAAATATTGGACTTAAATTTGTGTCTTATGTCTAAACAAGCAACTGTTTGCTGACACTTTAGCCATTTTACCATCATAATGTAAAAATGTGTCTGTTTACAGCAGGTTGTGCCTCCTTTAAGTTGCCAGAACAATGAATCCAAATATTTTAAAAATATACTGTATACACAATGAAAAGACAAAATTGAAACAGAAGCTGACACGCTTCTGACGTCACTTGTTACACATTTGTGTTTTGTGAAATTAAAAATAGATACAACACAGGATGACAGTAGTTATTGCTTGAGATGAGTCTGAATTTAATTGCTCACGAAACGCTACTACCCGCTCAACCAATCAGCATTTGTTTGCCACTCCACTGAGCTGTAGCAGTAATGTTGGTAGCACAGTACTGTCAGTTTGGCAGTCACTTTTTGCTGTATTAATTAATTAATTTATCAAGCTAGATGGTTACAGCAGAGTGAAGGTGGAAGCTTATTAATCAGGTGAGAGGAGGAAGTAGTAATCAATAGAGGAACGTTTGGCATGTGGACAGAGAGCTGAGAAAACTGTAATTATCCACATACAGCTGACTCTCACAGCTACCTCCTGCAGCTCCTTAAGCTTCAAACACACACACACACACACACACACACACCTCTTAGAGGCTTTTAATGGTGTAATATACATAGATATTAGAACCTTGAGTAGAAACCATCAGAAACCTGTTGTGGTTAATGTGTTCATATATTTGCTAATACAGGATACATGCAAAGATAATTAAAACCTGAATAACTAGTGGTAGAAGTTAGCTAATTTAAATAATTACTTTTTACAACTTTATTAGGGTTACTTAGCTAAAATAAATGCGGTCTACAGCTTTGCAATAAAACTTACCTCCATGTAGGTTATAAAGTTCAGTTTTTGTTTTATAAGTGTTGATTCAACTCAACAGTCATTTTTGAGGATGTTTGTGGTGCTGTTGAATTATACCAAGAAGTGTTTCTAATATTTAGTCTACCCACATCTGCATAAATTTGGGGGGCAAAATATTAGAAGCACCTGCTTTATCGTGTTTTCAAACTGCATTGTTCTATTTTATAAAAGAAAAGGCTGCGAGGCTGACAACTGGTTGGTTTCACATGTGTACTGGGTTAACTTCCCCAAAAAGCAGTGCACAGTCGCTTCCCTTGGCTTTTCAATAGGGCTTTTCATGGAAGACGTTTTTGACACGTCACCAAAGGAAAAGCACAGGTGTTAATAATAAAAGTTAATTATGATCCATTTGCTGCTGCAGTTTCAGGGGCCTGGTATTGTGAATGCTGGCTCACTGTCATGACTGGAGTACTTGAACAGAGCAATCGTTAATGTTATTAGTAACACCTGTGCTTTCCCCACTATGATCAAATCAAAATATCTGTTGTGAGAGCCAAATAAAAATTAAACCTTTGAAAACAAAAACTATTATGAAATGATTATAATTAAAACTATTTTTTATGTGAAATATAGAAAAATAGATACTAATTACTAATGCACACACACTGTATGCTTATGATTTGTTAAACACATCTGCTGCCAAAACTGTTGCTTCTTCAGAAGTTGATTTAGCTATTT